ACTCTGGTCTTCCCTCGGGTTGGGTGGGGACCAGGGAGGCTTGTCTGAGTGACTGACATGTCTCTGGAAAATAATTCTTGGATCGCAAGTTTCCATGGAAACCAGCGCAGGCTCTTCCTAGCAGTGTCAGCTGGCTGGGGGTGGGCTGGGCACTGAGGGTGGAGCTGAGGCTGAGTGCTCCCTGGGCACAGGCTTGAGTGGGTGGGCCCTGTGACGGGGCCATGACATACAGTGGGATGCACACAAGGGGCACGTCTGCAAGCTCCTTCTCTAGGTTGCTTATGAAAGAGGATGAGGGGACCAACTGCAGCTCTAGGGAGAGTGAGGGGTAGAATAGCAGTGGTTTGGGGGGAGGGGATGTTGGATCTCTTCCCCACCCCCAGCCTCAGACTAAAAGACCACTCAGCAGCTCACCCACAATTTAGTTACCCCCACATAAATTAGGGCAGCTACAGCATTGTCACCCTACCAGGAACATTCCTGCCAGGGTGGGAGGTGGGGGTAGCTTCCTGGCCAGTGGGGGGCACGTGAGGGGGGTAACCAGGCAGAGTGGTGCTCGCCATGTCACGACCTGGAAAAACACAAAGGGGAAGGCATGAGGCCTGGCAGAGAGGGGCCTGCCTCTACTCACACCAGGGCACTTGATGGGAAGAGAACCCCTTGGAGAAGAAAGAACTGTGTGTAGACAGAGATGCATGTGATGAGCAGATCCGGGTGTGCCTTTACAAGTGTATGAGCTCGTGACCTAAATGTCTGTCCTATGATCAGCTGTGTATGCACCTTCACTCTGTGTAGCTCTTTCTCGGTGCGTGTGTGTGTGTGTGTGTGTGTGTGTGTGTGTGTGTGTACGTGTTTGCCTTTGCTTGTGTCTCTTTGTAGCCCAAACCCAGATGGAGAAGGGCGGGAGGATGACCTGGCTTTACTCTTCCTTCCCAGCAAGGTCTTCAGCTGTGGTCTCTCCAGTAACCAAATGGACCTCTATGATCTTGCTCATTTCTCTCCTCCCTAACACCCTACCTTTCCTTCAGGTTTGGAAGATACCCCCCACCACCCACATGGGATAATGGGTCTTTCTTTTCTTCTCCAAGAGATGCTGCAGGTGCTGGGCCTGGCCGGTGTGGAGAGCAGGGGGCCAGCCAGTGAGCTATTCTGCTGTTAGTGTTTATGGCATTTAAATGACAGAAAACCATCTCCGAAGTGAATCAGAAGCTTTTGAGCCAACAGTGCAAGTGGATCAGATCAAGTTCCAAAATCTGTACCACCACCCCCCCACCCCCCCGCCAACTGATGACATCTGTCCTGAGTCCTCTATTAGCTAGAGCCTGGAGAGTGGGAGGCAGGGCTTTCCTTAATGGGAAGGCAAATCAAGTCAACATTAGGGAAATACCCATGGTCTACAGACATCTCCTCTTCTACACACCTGCACCTGAGTGAGTGGCCTCCCTCCCTGCCTGTCCCCTTTACCACCATGAAGAGGTCACCACCTCCCTTTGCATTTTCCCCCCTTTGCATTTTAGTATGCTCCAATTGCTAATCATAATAATTTGCCCTCATGCTCAGGCCGGTTTGGCTCAGTGGTGAGAGTGTCAGCCCACGACTGAAGGGTTGCTGGTCTGATTCTGGTCAAGGGCAAGTACCTTGGTTTCAGGCTCAATCTCTGGCCCCTATCAGGGCGCGTGCAGGAAGCAACCAACCGATGTGTCTCTCTCGCATCGATGTTTTTCTCTGTCTCTCACCCTTCCACTCTCTAAAAACCAATGGGAAAAAATATCCTCAGGTGAGGATTAACAACAACAAAAATCGCCCTCTTTCTTCTCCCATTCTTTCACGCCCTAGACCAGTGATGGCGAACCTTTTGAGCTCGGTGTGTCAGCATTTTGAAAAACCCTAACTTAACTCTGTTGCCTTGTCACATATAGAAATTTTTTGATATTTGCAACCATAGTAAAACAAAGATTTATATTTTTGATATTTATTTTATATATTTAAATGCCATTTAACAAATCAACCAAAAAAATGAGTTCGCGTGTCACCTCTGACATGCGTGTCATAGGTTCGACATCACTGCCCTAGACACTATTTCCTGCTCTCCTGGGTCCCATTCATCCTCTCCCAATTCCCTTTATCCTCCTCTTCATCCAGTGCCACTCTCCCACTCTAGTGCCTCTGTCCAACCCTGGAGGAAGTTATGGAACTATGCATATCTGGCCCAGTTCACTTTCACTAATCCTCATCCTCCTAATGTCTATTCCAAAGTCTCTCTCTCTCTCTCTCTCTCTCTCTCTCTCTCTCTCTCTCTCTCTCTCTCTCTCTCTCTGTCTCTGTCTCTCTCTCTCTTTCTCCTTGCCACTCTCACCTTGAAACTGACCTCTCCTCCTACTTTTCTGAGTTTCCTCATCCCCACCTTAACATATCTGAGTGATTCACCTTTCCTACCCTCAGACTACAGAGATACAGTTCAAATTTCTGTATTTCTAGCTTCTTGCTGAACATTTTCATTAGCTGTCCCACTGTCACCTCACACTTGACAGGAATAAAAGCTGATTCACTGTCTCCATTATCAGTTCTACCAACAACTTACTTGGAGACCACGAGACCAAAAACATTGGAGTCTTTCTTGACATGGCCTTTTCCCTCCCCCTCCATATGAAGTCAGTCACCAAGTGTGCCCAGTTCCGCTTAGCAATGTCTGTGACATCTGTCCCTTCTCCATTTCCTCCAACACCTCCATAGCTCAGCTCCTAAGACCTGCCCTTGGTTTGCCACAACAATTTTCTTGCTTATATTCCCTGCCTCTACATTCTTCCCTCTCAGGTCTCTCCCAAGTGTGGATGCTTGGCTTGTCCTCATAAAACATTGCTTTCAACACTTCCCTTGTAAAAACCATCATTGATTCTGTGTAGACTACAGTGTGAATCTAAACTCTGCCAGGCTCTCACAGCGTCCCAGGAACTCCTCCCAGCCAGCTTCCTCAGCTCTGATTTGCACCCCTCCTGGTTTAGTTTGACTGTTTTCACTGGCGTGTTGCTGTGAAACCTCTGTGCTTTTACCATATCATTTTCATCTTCTTACTCATAGTTTCCTTCTCCTTCCAGCTCAAACCCCTACTATTCTACCCTTCAGAGTTTATCTCTCCTAAACTTCTGTAGCGTCTCTGCTCCATGGATGAGCATGTCATTATATTTCATATTATACCAGCCCTGTTGTTTCGTATCATGGCTTGCTTCTTCAAGCAGATCATAATCAAACTGAGGGTCCTGTCTTCTGTGCTTTCTTGCACAGTTGAGAAATGGTAGGTGCTCAATAAATACTTGTTAATTTTCTAACATTCTATGCATTTATAGCCAACAAAAACAATAGAGGGGGCTATGTTGTTTTTTAATTGTTTCATATTTGTTGGTCTCCTTTAAAGAGGTAAAGGCTGGGACAAATGTAAATGTTTGAATCTGCCTTTTTCTCTAAAAATAGTTTGAACAGTGGATTATGAGTGTTTACAGGTTAACGAAAGATTAACAGTAAGGGACTCAAATATTGTGACTCAGCTTTCTCATGCAATAGAATAGTTTTTCTCTAACCTACCTATTATAGCCAATTTCTTACACTGTAAAACTCAAGAATAAACAACAGAGTGGAACTATTAAACAAGAGATTGCTTTAGACTCCCAGAGAGATAGCAGAAAGAATCTGTTTGCTTTGTTGTGGGTTTTCTTTCATTGACTTCTATTGTCAATAAATGGTCTACTCCTTCTGACCACCTCTCAGAGAAGTGGACCTGAAATGGACAATGACAGCCATATCTATCAATTCCTAGAAAGATTAATAATATGACATATATTGGTCAATCAATGATTCTCTCTCATCATTGATGTTTCTCTCTCTCTCTCTCTCTCTCTCTCTCTCTCTCTCTCTCTCTCTCTCTCTTCCTCTCTGAAATCAATAAAAACATATTAAAAAAGAAAAAGAAAAAAGGACCAAGACAGAGGAGAGTTAAAGAGAATGTAAAAGATTTAGAAACCCAATTCCTCTTGGTCTTGTGATCTTAATGTATACAAAGCAGCTAGGAAAAGAAGTATGCTTCTTTCTTAATAAACAGGAATTTAAATGCACCTGAATTCTGATTTTCAGCTGCATGGTTTCCACAACCTGTCACACATGAATTCCTTGTAATATGTTTTTGTCACACAATCCCGTCCTTAGCTTCAGAGGCTGGATGGCTGGAAAGGTGTTTCCAGTTAACCTGGAGGCACACCTCCAGGGTTTTTTGTTTATTTCCACTGGATATTTTTTCTTGCCAACTTTTATTTCCACTGGCTTTTTCTTTTGCCAACTTTCAACATATAGATACTTTGGCATGCTGAAGGTCACCCACAGAACTGTTGCCTGAAAGAGACATTTCTGAATTCTACTTTAAACACGGAATCTGTAGAGTGCTATTCAGACTTTTTTTTGTTATTGTTAATCCTCACCTGAGGATATTTTCCCATTGATATTTAGGGAGAGTGGGAGAGAGAGGGAAAGACATAGAGAAAGATCAATGTGAAAGAAACACATTGATTGGTTGCCTCCTGCATGAGCACCAACCAGGGTCCAGGCCAGGGAGGAGCCCTTGGCTGAAATCAAACCCAGGACCCTTTGGTCCGCAGGCCAATGCTCTATCCACTGAGCTAAATCGGCTAGGGCCAGACTTTTTTTTAATAGTCAAGTTGTCACTCTATTTTTTTTCTCAAAATGAACTTTAAAAAAATTTAAGTAATATTGGTTTATAACATTATCTAAGTTTCAGGTGTACAATATTATCATTCAATATCTTTATTTATTTGAAGAACACAAAAACACCTATTCAAAAAGATATATGTGTTCATTGCAGCATTATTTATAAGATATAGAAACAACCCAAGTGTTCATTGACTGATGAAGGGATAAAGAAGATGTGGTATATATACAATGGAATACTACTCAGCCATACAAAAAGATGAAATATTGCCATTTGTGACAACATGGCTGGGCCTCGAGGGTATTATGCTAAGTGAAATAAGTCAGGCAAAGCCGGGACTGGTTTGGCTCAGTGGATAGAGCGTCGGCCTGCGGACTGAGGGGTCCCGGGTTCGATTCCGGTCGGGGGCATGTACCTGGGTTGCGGGCACATCCCCAGTGGGGGATGTGCAGGAGGCGGCTGATCGATGTTTCTCTCTCATCGATGTTTCTGACTCTCTGTCTCCCTTCCTCTCTGTAAAAAATCAATAAAATATATTAAAAAAAAAATAAGTCAGGCAAAAAAGGGCAAAAATTGTATGACTTCACTCGTATGTAGACTATAAAACAAAAGAAGAAACAAGTGAACAAACAAAACAAAAATCAACTCATAGGTACAGATAGCTTGGTGGTTATTAGACATTTTAGAATGTGCGAGAAGAAACCCATGATGAGGTAAAACACGCACGCTTCCGGATGGTCAGCATACAGCTGTGCTGCTGCTGCTCCAGATTCTGGAACATCAGTATCACCACAAAGAGGTGCCCGTTCAGGACTCCTAAGCCAACAAAGGTGCAAGCTACTGCATACAAAGCACTC